ATTTGTATGTATGTATGTATGTAAATATATTCACACCTCATGTTCATCCATCGACTGACAGACTTCCATCACGTGCGCGACTTTCCCACTGCGGCACGCGTGCAACACCACCGCCGAAAGAATCTTCACCATAGGCACCTCAGCAGCCACTATATCACCATCGCACACACTGTCACTGTCACTCTCACAAGCCTCCTTCTGTGGCTCCTCTGGCTTCTTTTCCCCGCATGCCTTTGCACACGTGTGTGTGTACAGGTACTTAGCCAGAACGTGCACCAGTGCATCTCGGCGCTGTGTGCGCGTAGGTGTGGGATCGCAGTCGTCATCTGTTGCCGTTGTCTCTGAGTGGGAGGCAGCGGCAGTCTCCACAGCCTCGAGTTCGCCGGCGGGCTGGGATTCGCTCCTGGTTAATTGGCCATTGAGAGATGTGATTGAAGAGACGCGCCCCAGTTCGTCGCTGATGCTGTATAAATGTACAGAGGTATGAGTGCGTGTTGCGTACATCCGTTGTATCGCATGCATGACACACGTGCATGAGAATGCATGCTAGTACATTGTGTCTGATAAGTTTAGACTTATGTTTCAAACTTTAATACTTAAATAGACGAAGTTGTAGATTCTGCAATTACAATAAAAGCAATCGGACATCAGTGGTATTGGTCTGAGGTTGTGTGTGCGTCGGCTTTACTTCTGTGGAGTGATGCCATAGCTTTCGCTGAAGTATGCACACCCCAGGGCACTAAACGCCACATACAGTGGCTCTGACTATTACTGATATGGGTGTGGAATAAAAAGCTGTATATGTATACCAGCAGACACCCACAATAGAATATAGATATGCACGTACGCACCCACGCACACCGGTATTCTATCAAATCACACAACTTGCATAAGCCTTTGAGTGGGCACGTGCGAGTGTCACCACACCCACAGAGATGACACTGTCGACTTCGACGTAAGCATGTACACTATTTCAACACTTTACTAACTTATACACAATTAATAACAAACACACGATAGGTATTATACAACGACATACCTTGTCATCATGTACATAACTAATCGGAACATTAGCTAGCTTGTAGGCAATCAGACAAACACATACTATCCACATTATAGTGGCACTACCAACCTCATACTACACAGAGTTATAAAAAAATAAACAACCACATACCTTGTCATCATGCACATCACTAATTAAAACATTAACTTACGTATATACAACTAAATACACACACAATATTCACATTACATTACATTATAAACATCAATAAGTCTCATACTACACAGAGCTATAAGAAATGAACAATCACATACCTTGTCGTCATGTACTCACTTGGAACACTGACGAACTTGCATGTAAATAAATATAAACACAATATACACATAACATTACATTACATTGTTTACGTTAGTGAGCCTCATACTACACAGAAACGAACATCCACATACCTGGCCAAGTTTTCGTTCATGTCCTGGATATCACCTACATCTGTACGAGCCACCACAAACAATAGAGCCCTCTGCACCACACACACAGAGATGACACTGTCTCCTTTGTCGCACGCACGTGCATCACTTAAGATAAGTAGCAACTCGGCTGTAGTGGGGTGCAAGTGTGTGCACGCGAGAGCAAAACTTCGGGCCACAACGTCTCCGTCAGCCGCACATCCAGCCCTGGCAAGACAATCCACTGCGGCGATAAAAGGATGTGAAGAATAGGATCCTTGTGTTAGATTGAGTATGTGTGCGCTCGTGTGTGCATGTGCATGTGTGTGTGTGTGTGTGTGTATGTATGTATATATATATATGTGTGTATGTGTT